ATATATATATATATATATATATATATTCATGGACATTCCAAACACAAAGTACCATTATTTTTTGTTTAGTTGAAACCCTGAGATGCTTGAACTTGCTATATTAATTGGAAGTTGGGAGGACGAAGGAAGATGTGTGTTTCTTGGGAGAGGGACGAGGTTGATAGGATGTAGAGAAAGACAAAAGTACGTCAGATGAAATGATCAATAACATTAAATGAGGGAGCTCAACTTGACGAAAATACCCTCACATGCTCTGTCTCAAATCTGACAGAGTTAGGTAAAAGACCCAAACATTAAAAGTTTTGAAACCACAGAGACCAACGTTTATGACCTAAAAATTAAGAATCGGACTGAATTCTTTTAGAAATCACATGTACCACTTCTAAAAAATTTCTTTTTTATAATATATATCTTTTAACAATTTAACATTTTAGCTATATAGTTTTGCTGCACAACTTGTAGACATTTACCTAATATGATATAAATCAAACCAATCGGTCAAATTCCCCACCCACCAACGATCTGAGTCGACCCAAGTAGTTAACGGGCCCGTTACTACGTTAGCAGGCTATGCGGATTGAACCGCTACTTGATTCCTTTCATTTAGATTTATTCAAGAACTTTAAAATTTAATTCTTGTTTTACTTTTCATAATTTATCCAAAACTTGCCTATTTTTATCAATTCTGTTAATAACATACAATTACGTTAGTATTTATTGCATCTTATCGTTAATTATACATATAACTCAAAGATGAATCTGAAGTCGTTGTTTGTAAATTATTATTAAGAGAAATTAAATATCCTCCTACCTTTTGTTATTACCAATCCTCCTACCCATTTAAATGATGATATGTGTCATATTAGTATTCTAAAATATTTTTAAATTTCATTAAATGAGCATTAAATGTAACACATGTCATCATTTTATTGGATATGAGGATACGTAGGAACCAAAATAGGAGGATAATTAATTTCTCTATTATTAATTATTATAAAAATCTGTTTTTTTTTTTTTGGATAATTCTTGGGGGCTAAGGCTTTTTGAAAACGCGTATGGAGCCTCTTTTTGTATACCATAAAAAAGACAAAGGAATCGCTCTTTTTCCTTGTCCTTCTCCATTACTCCTCTCTGTAAATCCATACTCAATTTCTCATTTCCACCCGCGCGCAAACTGCTGAACGTGAAAGATTACTCAATTTTGTTACCACACACAGACACAGACACAGTTGGAAACATTAGAAGCGATCATGGTGAAGCTGACAGTCGTTGGAAGGGTGAATGACGGATTGCCCATTTCACAATGGCCCTTATATGAAGAAGACGGCGACAATACCATCTACAAGCAACATGCAGAGTTCTTGCTTCATGAAATCTCCATGGCAGCTTTGCCACCTTCCGCCACAACAATCCTCCTCCCTCACCACCATTGCTTCAAGTATGTAACATTGTAGCATTAGATAACCCCAATGCTGTTTTCTTTCCATTTTTTTTAATAAATTTGATCCATTTAAAGTAGAAAACATATTCTCGACAGTTCCCTGTCCCTAATTTTAGTTTAGTTTGTTGTGACAATTAACCGAAGCTATGTGGTGAAGAATGGGGTTTGCTTCATTACTTTGTGTGATGCTTTATATCCAAGAAAGCTTGCATTCCACTACCTTCAAGATTTGCAAAAGGAGTTTGACAAGATTGATCTGAACCTTGTTAAACAGATCACCAAACCATACAGCTTTATCAAATTCAGTAACCAGTCCTCCAAATTCCTGTTTAGTTCAAAAGAATTCTCCTCTGTTTGGTTCCTGATTAATCTATTTTATGTTGCAGATAATACTATTTGCAATATCAGAAGACAATATATGGATACAAGAACGCAAGCAAACTTATCGAAGCTAAAGTCTAACCACAAACAAGAATTACATGTTCATACCGAACAAATGTCTCTAGTTGTTGAATGGAGGAGAAGATCAGGTAACATTAGTTCAACATGTAAAATAATGTATCTTCATATGTAAAGTTATACACTAAAAGTGTGTTTTAACTATCACTGATAACCAAAATATTCATCTGTTGGTATTCAAACTCTGGTTTAATGTTGCTTTTGGTGATTTCTGAAAGCTTAAATTCTTCCCACATTTTTTTATCATCAGATATGCTGGAGAGAATGATGAAAGCACATAAAAGTGCTTTCCCAGTGTGGGGATCCCAGACTCTTGAGGTAAATATATATAGAAGGGTTAATTGCAAGAAATCGCAACGTACTTTCATTTTCTTGTTTATTATAGCATCATACTTTCATTTTGTAACCCTATACTTTTGATATCATCCAAAATAGCTAGCTGTTAACTTAAAATTCACAGGTTATCGCAGTGAAATGGACACCGATTACAATCATCTTCATTGTTTCATTTGTTCTTTTATGGAGCAGCTTTAAACAATGAGAATCTGTAAATTCCATCCCTTAAATGACAAAAACAGTAAGCTTGGATGTGGAGCAACCATGAGAGAAGGATTTGTTTGTACATTATCAGCATGAATATATCTCAAGAAAAATCAAAAGATTGAGGATTTGGTCTCCAGAATATTGTTGTGTATTTTGTGTATATGTTCAGTTAGGACTTGTATATGTATTGGGTCATTCATGATCCCGGGTTTATAAGTCGTTAGTTAACAAGGTTCCATAGAAGTAGTTCAAGAATTCTTTTATGTAATGATTTTGAAAATCTTTCTAATTATAATGATAAAAAAAGACAGAGTAACACATTTGATTATAGAGGTGGAATGTCAATGGCTTTATTATAATTCATGATCTAGAAACAATGTCTTCTTGTCTGGAATCTCTTGAGGTAAACCCACCTATAAAATACAGTTGAAACTTTTATATATATAATCCTGGCCTGAAGCTTGACATCAGCTTTAATTAAACATAAACATATGCATTTTTAACTTATTCCAGAATGCATTAATGATTTCTACTGTAAGACCCTGAAATTTATTTATGGGGGAACAAAATACAGACAATCTAGCTACAATTAGTTACAAGTATACAATGTTACATCACTGTTGTTGAAGTTTTGAGAAATATTAACTTGAGAGATTAAATCAAAGAAGTCACTTTCTTCATATTGATGCTCATATTTCAATTGCAAATGATCCATGGAATCCACAAAACCATAGCTTGATTGAATAATGCCAGATCCTTCATTCAGTAGTGCACCATTTGTGACTGTTTTTTGAGAACCAAAAGTATAACTACTCATGTCTTCCATTCCCGAAGTGTCAAACTTGTGAAACTGTTGGAGAGATAGCCATTCAGCAAATAGAATCTTGGGTAGATTTCTGCAACCATCTGCTTCTGATGATTCAAGACTTGAATCTGTTCTTGTATAGCTGGAAGAAGATGGGGTTTGTTGATGAGATTTCATGTTTTCAAAGTTTACTACTTTTTTCTTCATATGAGAATGCCAGTGGTTCTTTATCTCGTTATCAGTCCTTCCAGGCAAATGCTGTGACATCTGAGACCACCTGTCATGTGTTATTAAAAGATAAATATATGTATATTTATTTATGGTTTCTTTTTGTGATGATAATTGTAAAAAAATAAATAAATAAATAAAAAAAATTAGAATGGATCTACATTCTACATATGCATGATGGTTTGGTTGCTTACTTATTGCCTAGCATGGCATGAAGAGAGAAAATGATATTCTCCTCTTGTGATGTGAATGTTCCTCGCTTTAATCCTGGCCTTAGATAATTAATCCATCTCAATCTGCAGCTCTTTCCATTCCTTTGCAAACCTAATATAATATAATATTAGTCAAGGAGAAAACTGTAAATTTAAGATATCTTGATTCTATAGCTTCTACAGTATATATTATGCATACAAACAAACACCGACATTGAAAATAAAATCTAAAAAATTACTAACAGCCTCTTTTCTTTTCCATTAGATGTTAAAAATATCAAAGAAACTGGCGACATACTTGGGGAAATAGAAGGAAAAAGTAAATGAGACCAAATTTGTAAAATGTTAGGACTAAGTTTATGGTCTCTAGTAACTGGCTTTTAATTTCTGCATAAAGTAAACTCATATATGGATGGGTTAATTACCAGATTAATTAAGAAGTCATGTCCTCATTATATATATAAGCCTATAAAGTCAAAAATTAAGGAAGTTATATATATTACCAGCATGAATGGGGACAGAAGTCCAGCAGCCAATACCATGGTTTATGATGTAATCTCTGAGCTTCTGATCTTCATCAGGTGACCATAAACCTCTCTTATGCTTGTGCTTTACCTTTGTCTTCTCTAATAACCTGCACCTCATTATGAAATGGGAATATGATAAAAGTGATATATGACTTTATGTGTGTTATAATATAAAGAGAATTGGAGATTCCTTAGGATATAACTAAACTTATTAAATTATGAAGTTGGTAGACCACCTTTTACATTTTAATTAACCTAACAACTCCATGACAAGTCTAAAGGTTAATTAATCTACATGCATGGAGAATAAACACCAGAACAAGATTTCGAACCAATATCAATATGCATTTATTAAACCATGATGCAGCAGAAGTTTGTTATCGCACAAGCAACACTTGAATACGTAAAAAGTTGCAGTAATTCTAATTATATTATATGTATTAATATGCTTAATTAGTTCTGATTGAGATTAAATAGCCAAGGCCATTGGTCAACCAATGACATATATAATAAGATGGTTCATTATAGTCCTCCCTTTTTTTTTTTTTTTTTTTTTTTCCTGTAACAGGTAGCAGCCGCGCCAATAGGAAAACAAGTAAACGGATAGATTAGACTTTAGAGGGAGTAGAAGCGCTCTCTTTTGAGTAATTTGACCGGTTCTCCATGCTTCTAATTAATTAATATAAAAAGAACATAAAACAACTTACACAAAAGTAATTTTCTGTCAATCCACATTGTTGATCTTTCAATTAAAGCACTTACCATGCACCCATCATTGAAAAACATCATTCTACTTGAAAAAACGAACGAGAAATATACACAAAAACAAATTTGTAAAAACCTAAAACTCGAGAAAAGCCTCGTCTTCTTGACCTACTTTATTAAATCATTCTCGTTGCTTTAACTATAAAATTAAATTAAATTAGATTAAAAAAAAAAAACTCACGTATAACTTACTAAATTTGAATTTTATCCATTAAATTCATTAAGTAGAAATAGAAAAAATAAATAAATAATAATAATCAACATTTTAGTTGAATAACCAATGATAGGGACAAGATCAGGCTTTTAACAACTTTCCGAATCATGCCATGATAATATTTATTATATCCAACTTAATATATTAAATTGTGTTCTAATCTTGTGGTCCTCGCAACTTAAGCAGAATAATTCCTGCATAGTGCATACGTGTAGTTCCCAGGTCATCATAAGGTGTCACTATCGTGCATGTTATTACAATATTATCTGCTATATATCTTATAACTTCCCATAATATAATATCATATAATCTTTGTGTTGGTTCATGAATCATGAGATCAATAATAAAACGCAAGCTCATAATTTTAACCCACTACCTACACAGAAATATAATCCTTTCCGCATAAAATACAATGATATATATTGCGTACTTTTCTACATACCATAGTCGCATACACATCACAAGTATAGTTTAAGTTTAACCTCACAAATCCGACTTGCTTGCTTCATATATTAATTAATTCCCTGCTACATAAACGTGAAGTAAACCACTTTTTATAGAGTATACACGAGACATTAAGTTGTTTAAACTATTAAATTACTAATCGATGATAAACATCTATTAAGAGACACCCACTTGATCATCAGCATCAACACACACACACACACACACACACACACACACAATCAGATTTCTAGTCCTTTAGTATCAAATGATGAAGTTTATGTGTGAACCATGTTAAATTGAAATCTTGACAGCTGTTGCGGGATGGTGGATATCACAGGTCCATATCTCTGCATCCAAAACATAAATGAGATTAAGATTAACATTAGATAATTAACACAAAGTCACAAAGTAAAATAATCAATGAGAGATTAGGGTCTTGTTTCTTTTTTACTTAAAGCAAAAAAGGACTTAATAGAGAAAGCCAGGGAAATGAGGTTTTCCCAATTAAGTCCCTAACTATTTATAAATTTTCCTTCATGTTCATTTTCTCAAATAATTAAATGAAGACAGCTTACCTGAACGTTGTCATAAAGCTCAAACAATGGAACAGCAAGAAGTTTTAAATTTTTTGGCACTGCAAAGTACTCTCTTTCTGACAAGTGAACAAGGAAAAGTTTCTTACACTCCTGCATGCATAATCAACCAAATCATATCACAATTAGCCTAGGCACAAATCATAATCATTTAAAAACAAATAATGTAGATGCATTAATTTATGCTATTGAAATTTCTTGTTACCTTGGGTTTGGTTATGTGTGGAGGGCAATACGGGTACATTATGGTCTCAAAATTAGGCCTCCACCACACAGCCACACACTCTCCTATCTGTAATTGCATTCCATTTACAAACCCATGGAAATCAAGAAATCTTTAAACTGCAATTTGTTTAAAAAAAAAAAAAAAAATCTAAGCTGAAAACCTGCCAATCAGACTGAAGTCCAGTAGAATTAGCTGCAAGTTTGCTATACAGTTTCCTTTTCAACCCCTCAGTTTCTGCAAAAGTAAAAGATAGTTATCTATAAAACAAAGAAACAATCAAAACAATTATATAAATCATTATTATACCATTTTCTCCTGGTTTCAAACGACCACCAGGTAGTTTGCAGAATGTGTTCCCAATTTGCAAAAGCAGAATATGAGGATGATTATGCTCCTGTACCTGTTCATTAACCCATTATTTACTTTACTCATTTTTCAATTTCATCATACAATCTGTCAAATTATTTTACTATATAATCATCATAAGAATCTACCATGAAGTAGCACCAAAGATTGTATCTTCTTTTTCAAATTCAAGATATATACGATAAACTTTGCAGCACCAAACAGGCTTGGGGCTTGCAAATTAAACGAATCATACATCTATACATGTTTAAAGTTTGAACTTGAATCTAAACTGCTGTTACAAATTTATAATTAATTAATGTTGCAATTCTTTCAAAGAAATGGGAAAGCAACAAAACAAGGTATTTGTACATTAATTAATGATATTACAAACAATGAAATTGTATTGAAGAAAAGATGGAAAGACCAGCAAGATTCCTTCAACGCTAGTCCTCATGCCTTCCTTCATATAGCTGTAAGAAAAAAAGAATATTATTTCAGTTTATAACTAAACAGTGCTCCAAAAACGATAAACAGTAAAAAAAATAAAAATTTACATCTGCCCTTTTAATGTTTTCTTGTAAAACTGGATAATAGTATACTTTCATGGACACATCATTAGCTCCAAAGGTACCAACTCGTTTTTTAGGAGGTGTTTGGAAGTGTTGCAAAAACTGATTATAAGTTATTAGCTTTTTGACAAAACATATTCTGAATTCTTTAATTTTAAGGATCAAAATAATAAGATTTTGAAGCAAATACGAAGTTGCAGCAAAAAAATGTAAAATTGATATATTGCTTTAACCAATTATTATTATCTAATTCTTGTTCTTGAAGTTGCAATAATGACTTTGAAATCGCACATCCAAACACCCCCACCTAAATACAAACAAAATGAGATTCATTTTTAAACTTGGTATCAAAATTACTCTGTAGTGATTTAATGTCCTGACCCTAACATTTTCATATAGAGAAGTTATCTACTACATAGTCCGCTTCATCCTTTTTCGACCTGAATAAAGTAACGGACTAATAGTAAAATAATTCCAAAAATGAAATCAAGAAAGTTCATTTCAGAATATAGGAAGTATTCAAGGTTCCATTTCGAACTAGGGTTTTCATCAAAATATGTTGCCGGCCAGCTTCATTGCTTATAAAAAATGGAATTACAAAATTAAAGGGAGTAAGCTTCAAAAAAGAACGTACTTGAGTTTCATACGAGCCAGGCGGTCAGCGACGGAAGTGTCCTTCTCCATCTTCGGCTCCTTAGTGCCGAAGGTGTAGCTCGACAGTGGATACGTATTCACCACAGACGACGTAACCATCTTTACCTGAACTTTTTTTTTTCCTAGCTAGAATTTTCAGGCGAATTCTTGGATCGTCTGATGTAGTGGACAGATGGAAAGATGCGAAGATTTTAGAGGGATCGGGGTTTTCTGACGAAGCAAATCCTTGACTCCTTCAGAAGTTCGAGATATATACTAGGGAGTTCTCTAGAACTGCACTCTTTCTCATTTCTTCGTACGTGTCACGAAACCTCGTCTCTGCTCTTTCTTTTTCGAGAACATAAATGATCCCTCTTCTATTTACAAATATCTCATATAGTTTTTAAGTTCAAAAAAACTTTATAGTTTTTAAGTTCGAAAGTTTCGATCGTTCCATGTGGTTTCAAAACTTTTAATGTTTGATCATTATTGTTCACTTCATCATCTTTTTTCCGTTAAATTTTATTTTATTAAAATAATCGAAGGCCATTTACGTCATTTCACTCCGTTAAATTTTATTTTGTTAAAATAATCGAAGGCTATTTACGTCATTTCACTACCACATGGACCATTTATGATGTTTTAACTTGTTTATAAAAAAAAATATATCATTTAATTTACAAAGGGTCCCACCCCTTTCTTTATCTCTCTCCATCACACATATACTTACCACAATGAAAGGGTTGTTGATTTCAATTTCCCAAATAAAAACATGCTAAGATATGCAATCATCCTATATAAGAACAATGTTTGACTGAAAAAGTCAAAATTGGACTTTGATTTCAACATAGAGGAGAAAGGACAACCACACTTAGATTGAGAACACGCTATCATGAGAGACTCATATCTGTAATATTGGGTCTTAACTCTTATGATTAAAACAACTATTTGGGAGATACAGATTCTACTCAAGAACACCAAAATCCCCTTTCCTCTAAAAAAAATTCTTTAGGTAAATTACACCAATCGTCCCTCGTGCACATGCCAGAAAGCGTGTTTAGTCCCTATTTTCAAAAATTAA